GAAAGTGAAACAGTGATGCAATGGATCAAAGAACTGGAACAACACACTCATCATTTGCTCATCCAACTTGGAAGTGACCAGGGTAAGAGATGACCATGTCTTCTAACAAAGGAAGAAGTATCAGGAACTTTTGAAACCAACTCTCTGAGCTAAGCAGGTATCTGCACGAAGTTGACTCGAATGGTATTTCTGTGCATAGAGGCCATAATCTGCAAAAAAGAACTAAGATGAATCCCCTCGGTCTTTGAAATGGTTAGTCTAATGAAATATGCATGCTAGTTCATGATGCATGATGTCATGATAAAAACACACAACAGGTATCATAGATAGCAAACATGGTAAGGGCAAACAAGTCACACAATAGCCCTTAAATTTCAGGCTGGCATGGAGTTTAGGTACTACCCTCTTGCAGTTTAGTTGGTTCAACCTGTCCTAATAATAGTAACCGGGTTCTAGAGGTTCTTAATATCACTGACCATCCTCCATCGGTCATAGTTTCAGCTTACGCAATCTTTTCTTGTAGACGGAACCATCACGAGAGTATGGTCTCAATGAGTGTAGAATCCTAGTACTTTCTATGGACAAGTTGGTCAATTATAGGTTCTAATGTCAGTTGATGCTTAATGACCCATATAGCAGCCCCATACTCTCCTTGTTCCTCCATAAGGGATACCGTTACCAACTAATGTGCCACATCAACGTAGCTACTGCTTCAACTGTATCGGTCTACACCGTACAGTTCCCTCACAATCTATTGCTACTTACCTAAAAGGTGTTCCCCAGATCCGGGTTAGGATCTATAGTAACTCCGATACAAAGCCCATAAAGATAAAGCAAACAAATCAAACAATTGAAAACAATATGATGAACTAATCCTAAGGTACACCCCATTTATTATGTCCCCATCAGAGTTGCCAGTTCTGTGATACGGTGGCCAGAACCGAGATTGTTTTTTAGGAATGCAGGTTTGCGTTTTGCGTTTGTGTTTGCAAAATGTCGCGGTAAGCAAGAGTCGCCACCGAATTTTATTTTATCCAACAAGGAAAGGAAAAAAGCACAGAAAAATTCCTTTTTTGAGATATTTCTGAGTACGGGGGGTAGATTATAGAAAGGGAAGGTATTATCACCCTTTCTATCCGTAGTTATCTACGGGCTCTTAGGTACTTGCTCATCATTTTCAAAATTTCTTCTTTGTCTGCTTGTGTGTTTTGAAAAAAGTTTTTGTTTTGACTTTGATTTAACTCTTGCTTTTGTCTTCAAGAGTGTAATGAAATGTTTTTGAAAACTTTGTTTGAAAAGGAGTGTAAGTGTGAAAAAGTTTGTTTGTATTGAGCAAGTACTTAAGAACTAATCTACCTACTCGAAAAAAGAATCGTTCTTTGTTTGTTTCCTTTAGACAATGCTATCCCACTATTAGTGAGTAGGTAGCATCGTCGTTGGAGTTTTGAGGGCCAATTCGAAAGGGACGTACCGTCACTAAAGCAATGTGAGGATGTCTTAGTAATAACCCTAATGCCTTAGATCAATTATCTGAGGCAACAATATCCGAGGCAACCTTTCTGAGGCAACTTTGATCTTTGAGCGAAAGGATGACCACTAAAGCATCCTATACTCAATGACCGTTTACCAAAGGCAACCAAGTGGGAGTGTACCCTAGGAGTGTGCATGTGCGACTGATTCAATTTCAGATTATTTATCTTTGCACATTTTAGGGTTATCTAACTGTTTTAAATTTTTCACATACATTCTTGTCATGCATCCTAATGTCATACATCTAACATTTTAATATTTGTGGAATTTAAAGTGCGAGAATTAAACTACGCTATTACAAGGCTTCGGGTATTTACATAGCCAAAAACAAACCCTTTGAAAATAAAGCGATAAATGAAAAGTAAAAGTCCTAATTAACTATTACAAACTTGTAGGAAGTTACATCAATATGGTAAATAATAAAACAATAAAGCGCGCGTGATGAAATTAAAATCGGGAAGAAATTAGGGTTTTGACCCTTCTAACCTAATCAAAAGAAAGAAGAAAAAAAATTTGTTTTTAATTATTTTTAAGAAAAAGAATTAGGTCTTAAAATTAATTACAAAATTAATTAGCTAATTTAAATTAATTAATAAAAAATAATTACATGGCCTATTTTTGTGTTTTTTTTTGTTATTTTAAGAAAAGAAAATTAAATTATAAGCAAAACCCTAATTATTCTAACTATTTTTAATTTATTTCAAAAAAGAATTAAAGTTATCTAAAATTAACAACCTTATTTAATTAATTTAATTTTTTGATAAAAAATAAAATCTAAACCTAAATTGATGAAAAGTATTATTTTTATGATTTTTTGATAAAAAGAAATTATTTAATTTGTTAGTAAAATAAAATAAATAAATTAAATGAAATAAAAAGAAAAAGGTGAAGAAATTGGGCCTGAGAAAAGCAGCTTGAGGGGTGCAAAAATCAGATTTCTGGCCTAAGAACAAAAGTTCCACGTTTGACTCTCAGGATCTCGTGTTACACGTTGACTATGCCTCATGATGCTCCCTAATTGTTAGCCTTTGGATTTGGATCTCAAGACATTTGGCTGATGGGATGGTGAGGTCATATGGTGGACCTTTGGCTTATGTACGCATGAGATCACCTGAAAGAAATCAAGAAAAATGCAAATGTTTGAGGCAGGGGTCGAACCCCTGACCTCAAGCTTCCCAACGCCTTAACGCTTGCCTGGCTACCACTGGGCCATTTGTGTTAGTTGTAATAATAATACAAAATAATAATCAAATATTAAAAGGCCACATATATCAATTCAGCGCGTGGAAATTTGAACAAGCCAATGGTTATTTGCCAGCTGGTCATCTTCCTCCTTGGATCTGTTGGTAAAAATTCCAAACTTTTACCTACGGACATTTGTCCGTAGCTACAACATGCGTTCTCTTAAAACCAACCATGAGCAAGATAAACAAAAACTAGGGCCACCAATCAATTCGTCTGGACCTCCTGAGCGTAATGGTGGCCCTTTCATGGCCTAATTTTGCCTGCACATAAAACTCCTAAATCGAAGCTATAAACCCTAGCCATGGTAAAATCCTATACAAGCCAGATAAATGCAATTAAACTATATATAAAGCTTGCAAATGATTTTGGTAGATCACTCGTAGGTCTTACCCTAGGATCTTTGATCGATCGTAGATTTAGATTTTCTTGTAGGTCGCCCATAGACCTAGTTTTCTAGTAAATCGTCCGTAGGTCTTACCTTAGGATCTTAAATCACCTATAGATCTAGATTTCCTTGTAGGTCGCTCGTAGGCCTAGTAATTTTGGTAGATCGCACATAGGTCTTACCCTAGGATCTTAGATCGACCATAGATCTAAATTTCCTTGTAGGTCACCCGTAGGCCTAGTTTTATGGTAGATCTCCTGTAGGTCTTACCTTAGGATCTTAGATCGCCCGTAGATCTAGATTTCCTTATAGGTCACTCGTAGGCCTAGTAATTTTGGTAGATCCCCTGTAGGTATTACTTTAGGATCTTAGATTGACCGTAGATCTAGATTTCCTTTTAGGTTACCCGAAGGCCTAGTTTTTGGCAGATCTCCCGTAGGTCTTACCTTAAGATCTTAGATCGTTCATAGATCTAGATTTCCTTGTAGGTCGCCCGTAGGCTTAGTTTTTTGGTTGATCGCTCGTAGGTCTTACCTTAGAATCTAATATCGACCATAAATCTAGATTCTGTTATAGGTCGTCCGTAGATCTAGCTCACCCCTTATAGATCGCCCGTAGGTCTCACTATAGGATCGTAGGTCGTCCATAGATCTCATTCGTCGTCTTTCCGTACCCATTTGTCAACTACTATGTCAAATAACAAGCGTCTCTTTTGGAAGCCTCATATTTGCATCGTCACCCCATTACAAGCAACCACTTTCTAAAGTTCATCCATAAACTTTCTCACCAGAAAATAAAAAATTCTTTCCTCAGTTGGTATCACAATAACAAATACACACTCACACTTTCTCTCAGAACAAATTTTTGGCATTGATATTTAATCATCTTGTACCTCGAACATCCAAAAGGCACACATCAATCATACTTTCAGGTTTAAGACGATTAAATAGGGGCAGCTGTAATACCCCAAATTTGTCCTACCCTTTCACTTTTATCTGGCTTATGTATTTTGCAATTCTTATTTCATCTAGCTATCCTTCATTAGGTCATTTTACACCTCATGCATCATTAATCAATAAATAAATTAGGCATGGGATTAAAATATTGAGGAACTAGGGTTTCTCTATGCTTAAGGCTTTCGTTTCCCTCAGGGTTGAATTAACTGGTTTTCATTAACTATAGTTTGTGGAACTAGGGATTCATTTTCATATTCATTGAGAACTTATTCTTTATCAAGATGCCTCAAAAGAAAGTGGATGAAGGTTTTGTCATTGATTTCATCTGAGATTTACTTAAGTTAGGTTCTTCGATCCCTCCAGCATCTAAGGTTGTGAAGTCTCCTAAGTGCGAGAGATTTCTTTGCATCAATTATTCTCAAGATTAGGGTTTGCCTCCATATGCTTGCGATTATCAGATGGACCCCAAGGCTTTAGTTATGCATTCCTCATGGATTTCTGCTCATGGTATTATTCTGGTTGGGCCATCACATAAGGTATAAATTCTTTATTGCTTACAGTACAAGTCATCAAATTGGGCTTTATTCAGAAGACTTTGCATTATACATGGAAGTTGTTATCATCCTCTCATGCTTACAATTACTATTTGAGTTATGGTTCATTTCCCTTACTCAAAATTATTAGAAAAAGGTTGATTCATGATCATTTCTTGTTACAAGTCATTACCCTGAGATTTAATACAAAAAGGATGAATGTTTTATTCGAGGTTTTTGAATCATTCAAGATAAGGAATCAAGTGTCGGGACTATGATTTCCTTATCTCACCGGTGATTGAAATCTAAAGGTACAAAGTTGCAAAGCGAGGAATTCAATATAAGAGTAAATGAAGGGAACTTATTCAAATTCAAAGAAAAAACCACATGGATATCCATATAAATTCATTACAAGCTCAAAGGGAAAGTCTCTATATCATGAAGAATTTATAAAAAGGAATTACAAAAAGGGATTCACATCATGGCCAAGAGACTTCAAAATACAAAATCAAAAGAAAATATTTGGAATCCGAAAGAAGAGAAATCTCCTTGGAATATTTGGAGATATTGTCTTTAAACATTACAGACCACTACTTTCAAGGAAATTCATTACACTACAAAAAAATGACAAGTCAACCGCAACCTTAAAATCTATTCCCTAGTCTAATTTCCAAGTTTCCACTTTGACCCCAAAGCATCATGATTTTCTTTCAAGCTTTCTGACCCTCATTATGCTGACCGATCTACACGCAGTAACCGACAGTCCCAAATAGCCTCTACATCTGAACTACTCACCTGAACGCCCCTCAAATGCTACCCAATATTGAATTCAGTACAGGGATTCAATTTACTACTTCATGACCAAGCTATCTCATTTCCATTTCTTCATACAAAACATGCAAACCTGCATGAATAAACGGAAAACCTCGTCAGCTTACTCTCAATAGAAACCAACAGTTCTCATTTTTAATCCTAACATGCTACTAATTGTTTTCTTAACGCTAGCAGTCAAAGCAATTTCCACTAAAATTTTAAACTAGAAGTTTTACTAACGTGTTCCAGTTTGTTACAAGATTTACTGACAATTACTAACTTCCAAACAATAACTAACTATTTAACATGTACATCATATATGACGAAAATTCAGAGGGAACCTACTAAACCAGTCCAGAAAATAAAACATAAGTCAGTCAGCTACTTATATCCATTTTTTGAGCTCAAGCCAAGTTAACATTTCAAACAATTCTTAACCGCCTAGCCTTAAACCATTACCCTGACCTGATAACGAACCTTCAGTAGATTCACCTGACCAAATCGTAGCTAATCAAATGAACCAGTTCGTAATGAAAACAAATTCCATTCCATGCCATGTTCACAACAAATACAAAAGAAACCAGTTCAGCCCTGTATCAATTAACAAAACTAGCTTAGGAAAAAAACAAAAACAATTAGCAAATAACTTACAATTTCATTCAAATCCAAGGCTAACCCATCTAGTATAACCAACTGTTATCAAAGATTTCACTGGTAGTTACCAATAGAAAATAGCCTATAACTAACTCCAACTTCTAGCATGAATTACAACAGAAAAACTTAACCAATTTCTAACTAACGTCTAACTGTTTTTTCCAGCTCACCCCATAATTGTCTAATAGATTCCAAAGAAATCCTAATAAAAGGAAAAACTAATTAACAAAATTTCTCTAACTAATGAAAAAAACTTCAGCTCCAACTAACAACATGTAACTAACTTCTCAAACTCCTAAAAGAAACTCTAACCAACCTAACTATCTTCAACTTCAGCTAGCATTAATAGGATTTCACTACAACTAACAATACTATTAACTGAGTTATAACTTCTAACTAATTTTTTCCATAACAAACAAACAGAAAAATAACGGAAGATAGAAATGGAATTCTAACTTCCTCTAACTTCCTCTAACTACTAACAAACGTTTGAACTAACTGCAAGTAACAGAATTACAACTAAGTTTGTAACTGAATTCCAAATCCTCAACAATCTATATAACAAAATTCAGAAGAACGAGAGGGAGGATTTCACGGTTTCAGAAGAAAAAAAGAACAAAAAAATCATACAGTGAAAACTCACCAGAAAAAGCTCTATTCCATTCTCTCTTTGCACTTCCAAAATCTCAAACATAATCATCTTCTATTTCAATCTCTCTCTCTCTGATTCCAATCTACACCCATAATCTCTACACTTCATCTTCTACTTCAATGTTTAAATTCTCTGCACATTCTTCACAACCGCTTAAAGAATCACACCAGAAATCCACCTACATTTACAACAACTTCAATTCTACATCATCATCTTCTATAACCGATTCTACAGAGAACCATCCTCGACCTTCATCTCTCTGAGTGTCATCATCTTCTGTTCAACTTTAATCACATCATCGCTGAATCTACAACGCATCAATGATTCAGAGGTGAAACCGAAAAAAAGAAGTGAGTCGAGCCAAATTCCCAAACAGAAACAATCATAAAGGGGAATAAGAATAATCCGAAGAAAGAAAAAGGAGAGCAATAAGGAATCATATTACCTCACTTCTAGTTTCCTGGTTTTCTCGTTCTCTTCACCACTGTCTAAATCTCCATCGGAGCGTCTCCAATAGGTAACTTCAAAACTTTATTACTCTATATTATTGCGCGTGATTCTTGTTTATTGTTCTTTGAAGTATGAAAATGAAGCTGCACCATTGCAGAACAAGAGGAGTTGGCGATCGAAGCTTGAGCAGAGACGACCATAAGCGGCATGCATCGTATCCCTTTGCAATGACAAAGAGCAGAAGATGTTAAAATGAAAAGAAGAAGTGAGGCGGTGTAAGGAAGACAGATTGAAGCTTCGCCGCCGTTCGCGTTTGAGAGAGAGATGAATCGTGGGATTCTAGAAGTCATCCCTAATATAACCCTAATTCATTTTCTTTTTTTTATTAATTTTTTTTATGTAATAAATAATAAATGGTTATTTGTTGAACTGGACCAAAAGTCCATTAGGCCCATGCTTTATTTTTGAAAAACTAAAGTGAAACAAAAAGCTGGTGGATGGTTGTGGTCTAGACCGAACCGCAAACCCTTGCCTTGGTCCATGGCACTATTTTTGTACAGCGCAAGGCTTATGAACAAAAATTCTGTTTGGACTAACCATGTTGGGCCTAGCGACCTTACTTCAGCACCACTGGATCTAGGCAGTATACCCCTGACTCTATTATTTGAATTCATAGTATTAGTTTTACTTTTGCAAATAAAATGCAAACAATAAAATAATATAAAAATCAATAAAATTTGTTAGTTTCTCTTAATCAATTTTAGGAATTAATCTTATTTTTTCGATAGAATTTTCTTCACGTAAAAAATTAACAAAAATATTTTTTCTTTTTAGTATTTTAGTCATATTTTTTACAATGTTTTTCCTCGTTATTCTTGATGTGTTTGTTTATTGTGCAAGGTACATTCTTTTTGCTTTCGATCATGTAACATAACAGGTAGTTATATGATTAAAGCATATGGCTTATGCTCTCTTCCGATGTGTCACGCCTTATCTCTCATCATCCTGAGAAATTCTTATCATATTATATGTTGTCATGATGCATGTGATATTTTATGATGCTTTGTGCAAGAACTTTTGATTACGCGTTGCATTCGCAATATGCGTTTGCTTTTATCTTAGTTGGATATCATTTATGACTTTGTTTGTTTCTTGGTGAAGCTTGCTCGACGCGTACGCCCTACTTCTCCATTGCTTTCGTCTGTTTTCGACGATTTTCTTGCTCGTGGTAGTTGCTGCTACTACCTTTGTATTTCTCCGCACTTTATCGCATTTCTTTACCGCCTTTTTAGAGATCATGAGAAGCAGGGTTTTACTGTTTTTTGATGCCATGAGAAGTAGGCTAGAGATATATGACGGGGATCTCTGTTACTGATCATGTTAGGAATCCCTCTGGTTTATTTAAAGACCTATTTAGGGCAATTCCGCATTGTGCTCATTCTGTTTGCTATTTGGGGTTGTTTAAAACCCTACCTTTGAAGTAGGTATTCTGCACGTGTTTTACTTTTGTGCTTGTATAGCAAGATGATGGTTTTAGGTCCTTTTATGGCAACCATTCCTAAGTCCTCATGGGAAGGCAAGTGGAAAGGGTTATCAATAAACCCCTACCAGTTTTTTTCCATGTCGTTTCTATGCCCACTTTTTGAAAGTTCCAAGCTCCGAACATATTCCCAAGATCATATATATCGAGTCTTCAAGTGGGGAAGGGTTTTGAAATTAAACCCCCACACTCTGTCAAGAGTTTGCATTGGCCGATGCTGACACTCTGTGATCATTTATATTGTCTTATGTCGCCTACCTCGATCTTCTATATCTTGGTTAGGCCTTTACCCGAGTTAGTGTGCGCTACTCATGGCATGTGTGTGCTCTTTAGAGCTTTCTTGTTTATTCGCTTTTTATACCATGCTCCCTTAGGATGCACTTGTTCCCTTCAGATGCAAGTTAGACCTTAGGTGGTAAGCCATGCATGCTAACATTAGGTAGAGATTTCCCTTTCATCCTTGACGTAGGGATACCATTTCATGATAATATTAGGATTAGAAATAGGCTAGTCTCCCGTAGACTCTTTCCACCCCTTTTTCATCAGTATTTAAAACTAAGACTCTTCTTTTCTTAGGAAATCATAAAACATGCTAATCACACTTAAACCCTTTTTCAAACTAACAAAATATAAACCAATCAAATGTGGCATCTTTCCTTAAGGGCGTTACTCAAAACAGTTTTCAAGTAAGGATATGATTATTTTACTTCTTTGCCAATGTATGAGTCTCCAAAGGTTGAGCTGCAACAGAAGGCGGGATTAACATTGTTCATAAAAAACACAAAAGAAGAGCGGAATTACGATAAATCTGATTCCTCAAAAAGGATACGTAGGCATTGGGGTAGGGCCCCAGCGAGCACAACTTCATTTTCCCTACATTATTTTCTCCTTTCTTTTACATGCATTCTTCCTCAATAGTAAATAGTAAGCATATATTAGACACACCCATAAGATAGATAACTAGAGTGAATACCATAGAGTACTATGGGCGTGTGGGGTGATAATACGTCCCCCCTGCATAACATACTCCCTTTCCCGATCTCTCGGTCACAAGATCGTGACTTCTCCCTTCTCAGGTTTTCTCGATGTTTACCTATCCCTTCATGTGGGATAAAAGACGTTTAATGGAAACTTCATTGTTTGATAATTTTCAATCGGTTGTTTCAGGAGGGACTATCATCATTTACTCATAGGGACTATATCATTTTGTAGGCAACTCGAAGGGTCATCGAGGGATTATGATCTTTATTCGAAAGGGACTATGATGACTTGATCGAGGGTCTTTTGGTAAAGTATCCCCACTTTCAAGGAACGCGACCAATATCGTAAGGCAACAAGAGAGGATACCCTAGAGGTGGAAGTGTGATGAGTGTATTGATTTCAGTTATTTATCTTGACAATTAGGGTTTTCTCCGTTTGTTTTTAGTCTTTCCATACAAACTCTAATTACTAGCAGTTAAATATGTATAGAAAAATAAAGGGTGGAAACAAAAGACCTAAGCTATTACAAGGCTTTGGGACAGATACATAAGTATAGAAATTTATGGGAAAGGTAAACCTACACTATTACATCCTCAGAGCAGATACATAATTAAAAAAAATGCATGAATGTAAATCTATGCTATTATATTGATATCGCGACCTATACAATTTTCTAGGAAATTAAATAGCAACAAATAAGTAACAAAAGTGTTAAAAAAAGGTCAAAGACCTAAAATCAAAGTGTTAATGTTTTTGATGTTTTATAGAAAATAATTTAAGTGATAATAACTAAATAAAACCTAATTGTTTCTAATTAATTTTAATATTAAGAAAAAGGTTAATTAATTAATTAAAACATGTCAAGAATTTAATTATTAAAAAAAACTAACCTAATTTTTTATGTTTTGTTGAAAATAAATTAGGGTTGTTAATGATTAATTAAAAGAATTGATTAAGGAAAAAAAGAATGAAAATTAGGATGAAAATAGGGTTATAAAAATAAGGAAAAAAGAATATATGAGGTGGTTGTTGAACCCACGCCCTTCTAGTCATAGGCGCACCCTCCTGCCACTGTGCCATGCGCTTGCTTGTGTTTGAGAATGGGAAGCAATCATTATAACATTAACATGCACGTTAGTTTTAAAAAACAAAATATTTTTGCAAGACATAGGGATCGAACCCACACCCCCCACGTTACAGGCCTCTGTCTCTCACCATTTATGTTACGCTGCATTCATGTTATAGAATGTGAAAAAATAAACATATAATAAAGCAAGTGAACCAGAGAAGCGTCAGATCCCTAGCTCCGGTCGTCTTCTCCGACGAGACAATTTTACAACCTTAAAAAATAACAAGATTTAAGGATCAAGAGGGATCATATCCCCCTAATTTAGACCTCCTGGATCCAATGGTGGTGTTAGTTTTTCCTGAAACAGCTTGTAGTGCAAGATACGAAGCTCCATCGAAGCTTTGCCCTAACATTGGCAAATCTTCGTCCCTGCATCAAACCTTACAACCAATGGTTCTAAAAAATTCTAAACATCATTATTAACATGTATGAGTAAATCAAATCAATCAATAATGCATGAATAAAAAGTTTGAGATTGAAGAAGTTTATCCAACGGTGCAACATTGTTATGACTATTTTGGATGTGGAATTGCTTCAGTAATGGTTGGGACTGACACCTGGGAACTTCAAGAAGTTGAAGGAATGCTTGAAACGGATTGAAAGAGGCTGGAGATAAGGGTTTCGAGTTGCCCTAGTTTTGACAAAATTTGAGATTTTGAAGGTGTGTTCTTGAGGAAAATTTCATGTCCTTGATGGTCTGAACATGTTATGTATTTATAGGAGAGTGGTTTAGGTTAACAAACATGAATCAAATCTTTGTATTTCATGACCAAATATTTGATTGGAATTGTTGCATGAAATATTTATTTTTTAGGCCAATCATGTACTAATCATCTTTATACATTTTTTGCAAGTTGTCACCAGCTTTTTGGGTTTATGATTTGATTCAAAAATAGATCCCCATGCCTTATATCATTTATTTGATATTTAATTTAATTTATTTTTCTTTTAATTGAATAAAATAAATAAAAATAAATAAAAATCACAAATATAAATGAATGCATTCTGAGGTCTATTATGAGGTCAAGAACACATTTGGACCTTAAAAGATAGGCCCATTTTCCCAAATATTCAAATTTTCTCAATTTGGACTTCATGTATTTTCTAAAAAATTTCCAACTTACATCAATCATAACTCACTCAATTTTTGTCATATGAAGATGATCTTTGACTTTTCGGAAACCTCAAAATGTCTCCTACAACTTCCATGTTTTTCATTTTCTCATTTGGAGTCTTTAACTTTATGTAAATTTGATTGACCAAGAATGTCTTTTTGTAGACTTTTAAAATTACCTATAATGTTTTGGCTCATATCTCTCAAATGAAGCTTTTTTATCCTTGAGCTTACAAAGGCAAAGTTGTAGAGAATTTAATTTTCTTCAAGATAGGATTTGGTTAAGGAATTTCTGATGAAGTATGTGCAAGTTATGCTTGGTCAAAGTTTGGTTGACTTCTCCTAAAGAAAACCCTAATTTAGCAACTTTTGACTTTTGATGAATCTTGAGTTTTCTTGACAAATCATGATAAACCATTGATCAAATGATTAATTTAACCTCAAAATAATTATGTTGACCAAAAATCTTGAAGTTTGATTGTAAATTGGTCAAAGTTGACTTTTTGTCCAATACAGTTGATTTTCAATCACCTGACTAATTGAATGAGCAAACTTGTACTACAAGGCTTAAAACATGGCATGAGGA